ACCTTTTGACAAGCAAAGACAATGGGGAAGCCAGATTCACTTAACAACCGGGTGCCTAATTTAACAACTGCAGTGATTTACTTAACAACCATGGCAAGAAAGGTTGCAAATGGGACATAACTCACTTAACAAAATGTTTCATTCAGCCACAGAAATTTTGGGCTCAAGTGCCATCGTAATTTAATTTAGTTTAATTTAATTAATCATATTTCTATGCCGCCCAACTCCCAAGGGACTCTGGGCAGCTTACAACAAAAATAATACAAACAATGAACATAATTAAAAAAAAATTATAAAAGCATTTTAAAAACATTAAAAACACATGCACACCATCCATGGCCGGATCTCGCAAGATTGAACAGCGAGATCAATGGCCCCAGGCCTGCCAGAAAAGACAGTTCTTCACCGCTTTCTGGAAGGCCAATAGGGTGGGGGTAGTCCGGACCTCAGGAGGTAACTGGTTCCAGAGAGCTGGGGCAGCCACAGAGAAGGCCCTCCCCTGCGGGCCCGCCAGCCGGCATTGTTTAGCTGACAGGACCCAGAGGAGACCAACTCTGTGGGATCTTATCGGTCGCTGGAAGCTATGCGGTAGAAGGCGGTCTCGAAGATAGCCTAGCCCTGAGCCATGTAGGGCTTTAACCAACATCTTGAATTGTGCCCGGAGACCAATAGGGAGCCAGTGCAGCTCACGGAGAATTGATGTTATGTTGGTGCATCTAGGTGCACCCACGATAGCTCGCGCAGCTGCATTCTGGATCAACTGTAGTCTCCGAACACTCTTCAAGGGTAGTAAGTCGAGCTCTACCTGTAATTTCTGAAAAGATTGGGGTAGGGGGCACCATGCCTATCTTTCTCTCTTTAAGTTTATTGAATGCTAATTCTTGGAATATGAAGTTGCAATAGTGTCGGGTTTTCAGGTTTGTCTTATGAATGATTGGGATTAATTTTGCATCATAAGCTTTAATTGTATCTCCCTGAACCTGAAGTAAGTTTGAACTCAGTTTTGAAACTTGAACTTACACATCTAAAAAGGAACTCAAAATGATTAGGAAAAGAAAAGTTTCACAACACCAAAGCATACAACAACAACAAAGCCCATTTCCCATTACCAGCAGATATTGTGTCATTGTAGAGGAAATTGTCAACAAGCATTTTTAATAAGAACAGAATGGCAAAAAGTTGTTGTGAAACTTTAGAATAGCAAGGATCTAGGGAAGAATAATATATATACATTTTTTATAGAGAGGGGGAAAAACTATTGCGAGACCACCTTGCACATGATCTTAGCATGCTGATCTTATGTCCAGCCTGAAAGTTACCTTGAAGAGTTGTTTTGCATATAAATTAATTAATTAATTACAATTTACAAATATTCATTTAGTGATGGTTGAAGTTACATCAGTGAAAAAAGTGACTTACATTACAACATGTCTGCAAGCGTACGACAGCTGCTTGAGACCCTATGGTCTCATGATCAAAATTCAGACACTTGGCAACTGAGATGGATTTATGGCAATTGCAGCATCCTGAGGTCTTGTGATCACCATTTGTAATCTTCCTAGCTGGCCACTGACAAGCTGAATCAAAGGAGGAAGCCAGTGGTAAAATCCAAGTTTTTTTACTACCGGTTCTGTGGGCGTGGCTTGGTGGGCGTGTTGTGGCTTGGTGGGCATGGCAGCGGAAGGATATTGCAAAATCTTCATTCCCACCCCACTCTGAGGCCAGCCAGAGGAGGTATTTGCCGGTTCTCCGAACTGCTCAAAATTTATGCTACCGGTTTTCCAGAACCTGTCAGAACCTGCTGGATTTCACCCCTGGAGGAAGCCATATTTCCTTAACCAGCACTTTGGTGGCTCAGTGGTTAGAATTCAGTATTACAGGCTGACTTTGTCCACTGCCAGGAGTTCGATCCTGACTGACTTAAGGTTAACTCAGTCTTCCATACTTCCAAAGTCAATAAAATGAGGAATCAGATTGCTGGGGGTAATATGCTGACTTTGTAAACTGCTTAGAGAGTGTATGAAGCAGTATATACTGTAAGTCTAAGTGCTATTGCTATTAACAATCACATGATTCACTTAACAATTGCAGCAATTCGTTTAACAACCTGGGAAAGGAGGATATAAATAAAATGCGACTCACTTAACTGCCTTCCTTAACAGTGGAAATTCTGCACCTAATTGAGGTTGTAAGTTGCAGACTACCTACAATATATGTTGGCTTCTTCTATTGTGGACTGTATATTTATACTGTATAACTTACAGAACTGAAAAAGTTTCTTGGATGAGAAGCGAAACATCTTCAAGGAAAAACAAAGCTCAGTTGCCTTTTGAAAAAGCACCTTTGGGGCATACTAAGAATATTATGGGATGCTGTGTATGTTATATGCTACATATTAGAGTTATGGAGCATGTATTAGAGTTATGGAGCATGTGTGCTCCATCAGAGATATGTCAAATGAAACCAATGAACCAATGAAAGAACTCACTCCAAACATAATGTTTGAATTGTATATCAAGTGATTCTCTATCTTTCTGAGCTGCTCCTCTCTTGGATGAGGTGCCCTCTTCGCTTGCATATATTAATAAAGAGTATAGACTATCTTACTGGCTTAGGTTCTGTTTGTGCCAGGCACACCATGCTAATGGATCTGCTGACATTTACAGGTAATATGTGTGCATGTGCTATTACTTGTGTACATGCATCTGAGCATAAACAAAATATTCATTCAAATGCAACTGAGAGTGTGAAGACCAGCACTGTCTCTGTACAAAGGAGTCAAACTTTAGCCAAGATGAAATCTTCCTGCATTCCAGGAACAGATCTCAGAAATCAACCAATCCCGTACCACTTACTTGCTTAAAACTACCAGTAGCATCTATGAAGAAAAAATACATTTTTATTTATTAATGTGAGTAGCATATTTTCCATAAACTCTATTATTTCATTTTAAATGCATCCAGAAGACTAACTTCCAAGATTATTGGGGAAATCATTTTAAACTGCAAAAGGGTTTTTAAAAGGAATTTGGAATGTTGCAAATCAGATTAGTGGCCTCTTCTAACCTCCTATCAAAATTAGAAACACAGAGACCAAGAAGACAAAGGATGCTTTGGAAAGGGCTTAGATACAGGCCTTTACAGACTCCTCGCATCCTGGACATAAACTGTTTCAACTCTTACCCTCAAAACAACGCTACAGAGCACTGCACACCAGAACAACTAGACATAAGAACATGTTGCAATGATGTATTTCTGTTTATACAGCCCCAAGGGAGATTGTGACTGTTTGAAGGGCCACTCCCAGGAAGTTTAAAGAGATAGTCATGAAATCTGCCTCTCCACTTCCAGGTTCCTCTCCTGCCCTTCCAGCCCCTTCCTTCTTCTCTAACCAATGATCTCCATCGCCCATGGAGAGGTGGAGGGTCTGGAGGCTGTTGAGTCAAACCAGGGAGGGCATTACCCTAAAAATGTTCATTTTACTTCTTCCAGGATATATTGTAGCTTTGTCAGTGTTTCTCTCCAGCCAGACCTCTCCAGTAACTGCCCTAGCAGCTCAGAACACTACCTCTTCAAGGTACAACCATTGTATGTTTCTCTCTGTCTCCTTCTAATTCCTGTAGGTGCAACAGGTGAGATTGACATAGCCCCATTTTAGGGCTGATTGACAGTTTGTTGTGGCTCCCTTGGTTGGGACGTTGTTGTGTAAATACTTAGATGTTATATATATATATATATAGTAAGTTTGTCTATGTGAAAGAAGGGGAATGCTATTAAATAGTGTTTGATATTATTCATTAGTCTTTATTTATAAATTATTTAATATTAGCATTAATACTTTTTAATATTTTTTTAAATTTATTTTTTATTGGGTTTTAACAATTAAACAATTCTTATTCAACTCTTGTACATGACTGTGACCAATTTACATATCATCACACTTATGTTCTCCTATACTCTATATAATTTTACAGACTCTACTATCTGTTATTTCCTTTTTTTTCTATCTTCAATCCAATTATACCATCTCTCTCATACTACATAAAAGTCTGAATCCATCAGTCCTTTCAGTTCCAATGTCATTTTACCCATCTCAGCGCAATCTAATATCATTCTAATTATTAAATCTTCGGAGGGTATGTTTGAACTTCTCCAACATTGCGCAAATGCCAATCTTGCCACCGTTATCATATGTAGATTAATATATGTTGTTGTTTTTTCATATTTCTTTTTCATTATTCCTAGAAGAAACAATTCTGGTTTATATTCTATCTGGAAGCCTGTTACTTCCTGTATCCTACTATGTATTTTCACCCATTTTTTTTTTTTTTATTTCGGAGCATAACCACCATGTGTGAAAGAAGGTACCTTGCTTTTGTCCACATTTCCAACAATTAGGGTTTTAATTTGGATATATTTTTGCCAGTCTAGAGGGTGCCAAGTACCAATGGTAAAACATTTTATATTGATTTTCTTTATATTTTGCTGGTTAATTTATAATTTTTGTTCTAAATTATTTCCCAATCCTCTACTTCGATGTTATGTCCAATATTCCTAGCCCAGGCTAGGAATAGCGCCTTTTACTATGTGTTCAGATCTGTCAAATTCTAATAAATAATTATAAATTTTGATTATTAATTTTTCATCTGGGCCAATCAATATTTTATCTAATTGTTTTGGTAGAATTTCAATGCCATATTCATGTTTATCTTTTATATAATTTGATTTTAATTGTAGATAAAGGCACCAATCTATATTTATTTCCTGTTCTTCCAATTCTTGCCTACTTTTTAGATTCCCCTGGTTATCTAAAATTTTGCTGTATTTTACCATTTTACTTAAATTCAGTGTGTTAGGATGGATCATTGCTTCTATCGTCGAAACTCAATTAGGGATTTTCATGTAATTTTTTTTTTTAATTTCATGCCATGTTTGCATTAAAGCTTCTCGTATTTTATGTTGAAAAAAATTTGAATGAGATTTGTTCTCTCTGTCCTATAGGAAGGCATGCCATCCTTTTTTAAAATCATGTCCTTCCAAAGTGAGTAATCTTTTATTTCTCAAATTGATCCATTCTTTAATCCAAACTAGAGTTGCTGCCTGATAATAAAGTTACCAGTCTAGGAGCCCTAAGCCACCTCTGCTTCTACTGTCCTGAAGGTCTGATAATTTTATTCTTGCTTTTTTCTTCGCCCATATAAATTTTGTTGCAATTTGATTCAGTTCTATAAAAAAAAATCTTATCTAATTTTATGGGAATGGTTTGGAAAAAATATAACGATTTTGGAAGAATATTCATTTTAATCATTGCAATCCGACCCAGTAAGGATAGATTTAATGCCCCTCATCTTTCCAAATCAATTTTAATTTGTTGCATACGCTTTATGTAGTTGTCTTATTTGATTGAAGAGCACCTCGCTGTCAGCCAAATTCCTAGGTATTTAACTTTTCTCATATTCTGTAATCCTAATTTCCCTTCTAATTCTCTTTCCTGTTGTATTGTTAAATTTTTGACTATCATTTTTATATTTGTCTTGTTAATTTTAAGGCCCACTACTTTCCCATATTTTTCTATTTCCTGTAATAATATTGGTCCTGTTTCCTTTGGGTCTTCCAAAAAAAATACCAAATCATCCGCAAATGCCATTAATTTATATTCTTCCATTCTAATTTGGTTCCCTTAATCTCTGGGTTTGCTCTAATTTTCATCAATAGCAACTCTAAAGTCAAAATAAAAAGCAGAGATGACAGTGGGCATCCCTGGTGGACTCCTTTCTTTATTTTGAATGTTTTTGTAATATCTCCATTTATTATGTTTGCTTTTTGAGACAAATAAATTGCTTCAATCATTTGTTCAAATTTGTCGGCGAATTTCATTTCTCTAATTTGATTAATCATATATTTCCAATTTAAATTATCAAATGCTTTTTGTGCATCCAGAAAAACAAGGGCAATTTGTTTCTCTGGATGCCCCTTGTAATATGTTCAATACTATTCTTGTCTTATCTCTAATTTGTCTAGATGGCATGCAGCGAAGAGAGGGTTGATGGGTTTTCTACATAAATTTTTAATGAAATTTTTAAGGGGTGGGAATAATGATTTTTTAAGGGGAACCGGGAGGAAGACCAAGGGGTTTGGGGGGACGAACCCACTAGGGTCAGAGCCAAGCCCGGCACAGGGGGACGGTTTGGAGGGTGCAGGTCGAGGGATTGGGGAGGGGCTGGAGGACTATCCGGAGGAGGAATTTTCCATCAGCACGGTGAATGGGAGGGGCAGATATGGCGGGAGCAGGGGACCATATCATGTGTTGGGGGCTCGCACTTGCTATCTGAGAGCAATTGCTTGCCCCGGTCCCCCAGGCTCCACTTGGACACTAGGTGGCTTAGATACTCAGGATCTGGGCCTTTGGCTGATGCTGTGCAACACCAGGTCCGTGGTAAATAAGGCCCCCCCTCATTCATGATCTTATTCAAGAGGGAGGAGCGGACCTGGCAGGTATTACGGAGACCTGGTTGGGCCCGGAGGGCGGCGTCCCTCTGGTCGAAATGTGCCCACCAGGCTTCAGAGCATTCCATCAGCCGAGGGCCCAGGGGAGGGGAGGGGGGTGGCGGTTATTATTAATGAGGATCTGGGTCCGAGGGAGACCACTGTGCCTCAGATAGCCGGATGTGAGTCCCTCCTTGTGAGGTGGGGTCATGGGGTTCAGATGGGCTTGTTGCTTACGTATCTGGCTCCCTGCCACGTGGCAGCAGCCCTACCTGAGCTACTCGACGTGATAGCCACGGTGGCAGTAGATACACCCAGGCTTTTAGTCATGGGTGATTTCAACTTGCCATCCACTGGTGAAACGTCTGAGGTGGCTCGGGAGTTCATGGCTTCCATGACGGCCATGGACCTGACCCAGTTAGTTCATGGCCCTACTCACAGGGGAGGTCACACTCTGGACCTGATTTTTGTCTCTGGCCAGTGGTTGAGTGGTCTTGTTATTGGGGATATAGATATGGAACCCTTGTCATGGACAGACCACTCACTCCTTCGCCTGGATCTTTTAACCGCTGCCCCCCCGCCGCAGGGAGGCGGATCCAATTAGATGGATCCGCCCCAGGCGCCTGATGGATCCTGAGAGGTTCCAGATGGAGCTTGGGCCATTTCCTGAGGTTCTAGCACATGACTCGGCCGAGGACCTGGTAGCCGCCTGGGATCGGGCGGCTTGGGGGGCCTTGGACTGAGTCGTGCCTTTGCGGCCTCTGACCCGGTGCCGATCCCGTGCGGCTCCTTGGTTCACCAAGGAGCTGAGGGAAATGAAGCACCGGAAAAGACGCCTGGAGAGCGGTTGGAGGGCCAGTCTCGCTGAGTCTGATCGAACACTGGTAAGGTCACATATTAAGACCTACCTAGTGGCGATAAAGACGGCAAAGTTTAATTACTTTTCCGCCTCTATTGCGTCATCAGGGAATCGTCCGGCCGCCCTGTTTAGGGTGACCCACTCCCTGATCCATCCGGGAGTGCGGGAGGATCCCTTGGAAGGCAGGGCGGAGGATTTTGGACAATACCTGTATGACAAAATCACTCAGATCCGGCGGGATTTGGACTCTGACTGGGTAGATCAGGGCAGAGTGACGAGGAATAGTCTTGAGAATGTTATCTGGGAGGAGTTTGACGCTGTGACTCCCGATGATGTGGACAGGATTTTGGGGAGACTTAGTGCGGCCACATGTTTACTGGACCCGTGTCCCTCCTGGTTGGTACTGGCTTCCCGGGAGGTTACACGAGGCTGGCTCCAGGGTGTTATCAACGCTTCGCTGAGTGAGGGCCACTTTCCCGCTGCCTTGAAAGAGGCGGTGGTGAGGCCTCTCCTCAAGAAGCCGTCCCTGGATCCGGCAATATTGGCCAACTATCGTCCTGTCTCCAACCTTCGCTTTATGGCGAAGGTTGTTGAGAGTGTGGTCGCACGACAGTTCCCACAATTCCTGGAGGAAACATCTTATCTAGATCCGTTCCAGTCGGGTTTCAGGTCTGGGCATAGCACGGAAACGGCATTGGTCGCATTGGTTGATGATCTCTGGAGGGCTCGGGACAGGGGTTGCTCCTCTGTTCTGGTCCTGTTAGATCTCTCAGTGGCTTTTGATACCATCGACCATGGTATCATGCTGCACTGGCTGGAAGAGTTGGGGGTGGGAGGCACCGTGTTGCGGTGGTTCTCCTCCTTTCTCTCCGACCGGTCGCAGTTTATTTTGGCAGGGGGGCAGAGGTCGACCTTGAAGCCTCTTATCTGTGGAGTGCCGCAGGGATTGGTCCTCGTGCCCCTTCTGTTCAACATTTATGTAAAGCCGCTGGGTGAGATCATCCGTGGCTTTGGGGTGAGATACCACCAGTACGCTGATGACACCCAGCTGTACATCTCCACCCCAGGCCACCCCAATGATGCCCTTGAAGTGATGTCCCAGTGCCTGGAGGCTGTGTGGATCTGGATGAGGAGGAACAGGCTCAAGCTCAACCCTTCCAAGACTGAGTGGCTGTGGCTCCCGGCATCCCGATATAGTCATTTGACTCCATCACTGACTATTGGGGGAGAGTCTTTGGCCCCCACAGAAGGGGCTCGCAATCTGGGAGTCCTCCTGGATAGGCAGCTGTCCTTGGAGGAACATCTGACAGCTGTAACCAGGGGGACCTTTTGTCAGGTTCGCCTGATTCGCCAGTTGCGGCCCTTTCTTGATCGGGATTCCCTGTGCACAGTCACTCATGCCCTCGTCACCTCTCGCCTTGACTACTGCAACACTCTCTACATGGGGCTCCCCTTGAAGAGCACCTGGAGGCTCCAACTGGTCCAGAATGCAGCAGCGCGGGTAGTGATGGGAGCAGCATGGCGCTCCCATGTAACACCGCTCCTGCGTGAGCTGCACTGGCTCCCAGTGGTCTTCCGGATGCGCTTCAAGGTGCTGGTTATCACCTTTAAAGCGCTCCATGGCATCGGGCCTAGCTATCTTCGAGACCGCCTGCTGCTACCAACGACCTCCCATCGTCCTGTGCGCTCCCACAGAGAGGGCCTCCTCAGGGTGCCATCAGCCAATCAATGCAGGCTGGTGACCCCCAGGGGGAGGGCCTTCTCTGTGGGGGCACCTACCCTCTGGAATCAGTTGCCCCCAGAGATAAGGAGAATTCAAGACCTTAGCGCCTTCCGCTGTGCCCTTAAAACCCACTTTTTCCAGCAAGCCGGGCTGGCTTAAGAAGAAATTTTAAATGTTTTAATTGGTTTGTATTTTTAATTTTGGGCCAAATTTATATAGATTTTAATTGTTTTTAATATTTGTATTTCATGTTTTTTAATTCTGGCTGTACACTGCCCTGAGTCCTCAGGGAGAAGGGCGGTATATAAATTTAAAATAAAAAAAAAAACCCATTTTGGTCAGAGTAAATAATCTCATTCAGTATTTTTTTTCATCCTTACTGCTATGACAGCCATAAAAATCTTGTAGTCTGCATTCAGAAGTAAAATTGGCCTGTAGTTTTGAATTTGATTTGGGTCAGTACCTTCTTTCATAATCACTGTGATATATGCTTCTCTCCAGTGGTGGGTTGCTCCTGGTTCGCACCGGTTCGCAACCGGTAGTAAAAATTTGTAGTAGTTCCAAGAACTGGTAATAACATTGACTGGCCATGCCCCCAAACCGGTCCCTGCCACTTGCTTACCCCACCCACCTCATCAGAGGCTTTTTTTTAACTTTTAAAAGCATTTTTTCTACAACCTCTTTGGCCAAAAAAATGCTTTTAAAAGTAAAAACAAAAGCCTCTGATGATATCGCGGCTCAGCTGGGATCATCAGAGGCTTTTCAAAGCATTTTTTCTGCAATCTTTTTGGCCGAAGAGGTGGTAAAAAAAATGCTTTGAAAAGCCTCTGATAATCCCAGCTGAGTTGCCTGATCGGCACAGGCCTTTCAAAGCATTGTTTTCTGCAACCTCTTCGGCCAAAGAGGTGGTAAAAAAATGCTTTGAAAAGCCTCTGATGATCCCAGCTGAGTTGCCTGATAGGCAGAGGCTTTTCAAAGCATTGTTTTCTGCAACCTCTTAAGGTTGTAGAAAAAATGCTTTTAAAAGTAAAAAAAAAAAAAATAGCCACGCCCACCCAGTCACATCACCCCCCACCAAGCCATGCCCACAAAATAAACCATGCCCACAGAACTGGTAGTAAAACAATTTAGAACCCACCCCTGCTTCTCTCCATGAAACAGGAATTTTTGCTTCTAACAGGACCTCATTATACAGTTCTAAAAGAATGGGTTCTAATAGCTCCCCCATGTTTTTGTAAAATTCTCCTGGTAAACCATCTGAGAAACTGAGAAATCCACATACAATAGAGCATTGGGAAACTAAACTAAAAGAACAAAAAAAAAAGTTAAAGCAGAGGAAGTATCTTAAGTGAACTAGAAACTAGATTGTTATATTGTTACATTATAATCTGTGATTAACATTTTGGCAATAGGATATTTTCTGAATAATGATGTGCCTGCAATTTTTGTGATAAAACTGTATTTACAAATACACAATGAAATATTGACATAGATAGTAATTTAAGATTAGTCAGATTGTGCTGAAGGTATTACATTTAGCATAGAACTATTTATAATTAATATTTATTATAAATTAGGATATTTAAGTTAATATTAAGATCTATTTGAAGTGATATATGATTATACCATATTGTATTGTATGCCTTTATGATTGACTTACAGTTGTAAGTTTTTATAAGTTTTTGAGTAGATAACCAATGAAAATAGAAACTGAAATCTAGAGCCTAGAAAAAACAAAACGTGAAAGAAGCAAACACTAAAATATTGATAGGTAAAGGGAGAAGATATTGAGAAAGCCAAAAGTAATATAAAAGTGACCAAGCCAATAATAGACAAAGGGAAAAGGAACATAACTATAAGAAAATTAACTTAGAGGGATAAAAGAAATTATTATTAGTGATAAAAATAGTGGGTGGTAATCTGGGAAAAGATTTATAAAATTTTAGGAGAACAAAGTAACATTCTAAAAGAAATGACAAGTATCAACACTACATCGCTGATAAAAGGGAAAAAGGTGGCATCAAACCCAACGGTGGTGATGGCTTCCCCATCAACCCAGAGAACAATAGAAGGAATGCTGCCTACAGAAAAATCAAGCTCCAATTTGATATCCCAGACGATGCAGACTACTCTCGTAATGATTCAGGAAACTATGATGAAACTTCAGGAGGCAATGACAAAAAACCATGGAGAATTGAAAACTGACATACATAACTTAGACAACAAAATGAATTCAATTCAAGAGGTGATACAAAGGAATGAGCAAAATATTAGGTCCGTGGAAATAAAAACTGAACAAACTGAAAAAAAATTAGAGCAGATAGACCAAGAAATGATGGCAGTAAACAAAGACTTAGAAAGCTCATTTATGCATTTGGAAATGGATCAAGCCTCTTTTTACCTGAGGTTTCAAAATGTGGCAGAAACAAAAGAAAATGACTTTTTAATTTTAAGTTAATTGCAGTTTCATCTCAATTCAGATCACATTTTTGTTCTAGACCTATTTTTTTTTTGCAGTGTGGGCCTAAACAAAGACCACTTTAATGGGGGATTAAGCAAATCGTATTTCTCTGCATACCTTAAACTTTTGTCTTTAGGAATCTGTAATTATCCTTATTCAGTAGCTTTAGTTACTGTATAAGATTTGGCATCCACCTGGCTTCTCCTACCCCTCCTTCCTCACATGCAAATGAGAGCTGCCTATATAGAGCCAAGGTGGCGCAGTGGTTAGAGTGCAGTACTGCAGCTACTTCAGCTGACTGCTAGTTCAGCAGATCAGCAGATCAAATCTCACCGGCTCAAGGTTGACTCAGCCTTCCATCCTTCCGAGGTGGGTAAAATGAGGACCCAGATTGTTGGGGGCAATATGTTGTTCATGTTGTCTTTGTTGTAAGCCACCCAGAGTCCTCGGAGAGTGGGTGGCATAGAAATACGAATAATAAATAAATAAATAAATACATACATACATACATACATACATACATACATAAATATAGAAAATGACCATGAGTGTACAGCAGTGTCCTCCTTTTCACAATCAGCAGCTGTTCTTATGGAATTATATATGACTCTGGAAGTGGGCTGTAAAGTTCCCTTATTTTTTGTTCACTAGGTTCTGTAAATCACATTCCTTAAAGCAAGTAGAATAATTGTTCAAGTAGAACGATCAAGCAGAACATGGATGGGATGCTTTGGTCATCTCATTATCTAGGCGTTAATCTGTGGTATATCATACTATATTTGTTCTCCAGGCTCGAAAACATGGGCAGCCTTTCTGCGGCAAACACCACCTTTGCCCTCAACCTCTTCAAGAAGCTTAGTGCAAATGATCCTTCCAGCAACTTGTTTTTTTCTCCTTTGAGTTTGTCTTCTGCACTGCTAATGGTCTCGTTGGGTGCCAGAAATAATACAGAAGCTCAGTTATTCAAGGTATATTAAGATACATTTTATCAAAAAGAAAAAAGGGGGTTGGCTGTGAGCTGGTCCCCAAACTTGCTAGCCAATTATGAGAACATCTATTTTATTTATTTATGAAGTTTATACGATGGCCATTTTGCAATAATGCCACTGTGGGCAGCTAATCTATCATCTGCTCTAAAAAGTTCCAAGTACGCCTATCACCTCAACCTGGCTACACTCCTAAGATGATGCTGTTTGTCCAATTGCCAACTTTCTGATTAGCTTTTGAAAAATGCAGCAAGCACAACAGATGCCATTGTTATTGAGATTCTTTAACTCTGCTCTCAATTCTCATTCAGATTTGGGATTCTATTTGCATGAGGATGGGAGCAACTCCTATTTGCTTGGAATGTAAACAGCATGCATAGGAAGTCTGATAGGGATTCAGCCCTCTGTGCTTGACTTCTTCAAAGCCATTATGGCAATTGCTAATTATGGAAATAGCAATAGTAATAGCACTAAGATTTATATACTACTTCATAGTGCTTTACGGCCCTCTCTAAGCAGTTTACAGAGTCAGCATATTTTCCCCAACAATCTGGGTCCTCATTTTACCAAACTTAGAAGGATGGAAGGTTGAGTCAACTTTCAACCATTCAGAATTGAACTCCTGAAGTGAGCAGTGAGTTAGCCTGCAATACTGCATTCTAACTACTGCGCCACCATGGCTCTTAGCAAATGGTATTACTTTGGACAAAAGTCCTTAACTTGAAGTCCCAGGGTTTGAAAAACCATTTTTGTGGATCCTAGAGATACCCTTTACTACAATTACCCCCAGATCAGGACAATTTAATGATATGCTGTGGTAGGAAAAACATGCTACCTCCAGTTTAAGTCCTAAAATTGACTTCATTTTGTTTGTTTGAAATATCTAAGGTTTTCCAAAGTCTGCTATTGTGGTATTACATTTAGAATTGATGTTAAACTTAATTTGATTAAGCATATGTCATATTATAGGTGCTTTCTGTACTCAACGATGGAGAGGTTCACCAAAGATTTGAGAAAGTTATTTCTGATATCAACAAACCAGGTGCTAATTATAGCCTCAGTCTAGTCAACCAGCTCTTTGGAGAAACATCATATGATTTTCTTGCAGTAAGTTACATACATGTTGGAGAACTGGCTGGAAACAACCATAAATGCTCTGTTTGTTTTAATGTTTGCCTGTCTCATTGCAATTGCAGTTTGGCTCTAATAAGGTACCAAATATTCCTGTAGCTTTATTTCGTTCATTGAGTTGTCTAGAGGGGAAATTTAAAAGTCTAGCTGCTTTTACTGGGAATGTTACAGGAACATCCAGTGGAATGTTCCTAAATATAGAACTATCAAATAAAAGTCATAAATAGAACCATGTGACCCATAATTGCCAGATATATTTTTGAATAAACTGTTATTTTAGGATAATTCTATATAGTTCCTAATATCTGATAAACTTTTTCTAGGCTGTATCAACTATCCAATGGCATTGGCTGGTTTTAGATAGTATTCAGTGTAATAAATAATGTTTCCTGATTTTTAGTTCGTAGAAAAATGAGACAAAATCAATTCTTGTTCTTTATATTTGCTTCTGTTATTGAGATGTCATTGTTTCTTAAGTCATTTATAGAATCCACTCAGAGATTCTACCATGCAGGTCTGGAGAAACTTAACTTCACACAAGCTTCAGAAGATTCAAGAAGACATATAAATGCCTGGGTAGAAGAAAAAACCTCAGGTGAGAATGATAATAAGAGTTAATTAGTAGCTGCATTAAGTAAGACATGCAATATTGTGTGTGCATGTCAGAGAGACAGACAAGGCAGGCAAACCCACCTGCTATTATTTGCTATGTAGAAGCCCATCAAATCTCAGATGAAATTCTAGCCATGAATATATTATTGGTTTTATTGATGGACACATCTGAGCATATTTCTGTTATTTAACTTGCCTGTTATTTAACTTGTATGTGTGTGGTAACCTTACTAAATAATGATATAAGATGGGCAACTGTATAAATGTTAAGAGAGGGAGGATGGGTGGATGGAGGTTGGACTGGCCCTGAGGAAGCAAAAGCTACATTCCATCCTCAGTCAGAGGAGTTCTCTGGGTGACTGTCTTGAGCTCCTGAAGAGAGAAATCTAATAATTAAATTAAAATGAAGAGAGGGGGGGAGGGAGGGACAGAGGGAGGGAGGGAGACAGGGACAGAGACAGAGGGTGGTGAGTGATGTTAAGAAATAATAAATCTTATCTATCAATTAAAGCAGTTTTTTTTAAAAAAATCTTTCAAAGGAAACATTCAGGATCTGCTTGTCCTTGAAATAATTGATTTGCTTACAAAACTGGTTTTGGTGCATGCTATCTATTACTTTTTTTAAAAAAAAATTAAATTTTCTTTTAATACAAACATTCCATCACACATCTTAGTGTGTCATCTGAATATACATTTCTTTGTGTCTTAACAATTAAACTTACCACCATATTAATTTCTTACATTCATTCTTATATTAATACTAAATAATAATAATGATAAAATGACATAAACTAACACTTCTCTTCTTTACTTATCTATTTTTACAATACATTAATTTCATATTTATTCTCTAACCATTGATAAAATAACTCCCATATATTCTTCCTTTTCTAGAATTGCAAGTGTTAACCTGTTCATTTCTGCACATTCTAATATTTTCTTAGTCACTTTTTCATCTATAGGGATCTCTTCGCTTTTCCAATTTTGTGCAAATATAATTCTAGCTGAGGTTATTATATCAATAATCAAATATACAGTTTCTTTACTATAATTCACGATAAAATCCCCAACAGGAACAATTCCAGTTTTAAATCAATATGTTGTTGCGTCATCTTCTCCAGCCACATACAAATTTTTGCCCAGTATCTTTTTGCTTCCCCACACGTCCACCACATATGATAATACAACCCCGGTGTCTGTTGGCATTTCCAACATTTAGTTGATTTATCTTTAAACATTTTGGCCAGTCTTTCTGGTGCTAAGTGCCATCTGTAAAACATCTTATATAGATTTTCCTTGTATGCAGTTGATGGTGTTAATTTGTAATTCCTATCCCATAGTTGCTGCCATTTATCTCGTTCTATCGTGTGACCGAAGTTTTTTGCCCATGCTATCATTGTTCCTTTAATTTGTTCTTCTCCTAATTTAATGCTCAATAAGTAACTGTACAATTTTTTTTATCATTCTCTCTTCTATTCCTGTCAATATCTTATCCAATTCTGTCAGTTCCATATAAAAACCATAAAGTTTAGCATCCTTTTAATATCTAGATCGTATTTGCAACTGTGTGTACTAATCCATATCAATCCCCTGCTTTTCCAATTCACATTTCATTTTAAGTTCCCCCTTATCTGACAAAATATCTTTGTAACTAACAATATTTCCCATATTAATAATATTTGGATGTATATGTGCTTCCATCGTCAAAAGCCAGACTGATATCTTCAAGTAGTGTTGCTCTCTAATTTTTTCCCATACTAATAACAAAGCATTTCTTATATACTGTCTTTGGAAGTAACCATGTATCTTATTTTCCCCATATCATAAAAAAGCATGCCAACCTAAATGCAGGTCATGTTCCTCCAATGCTAATAACCTTATATTTCTCAATACAATCCATTCCTTCATCCAAGTTAGTGCTGCTGCCTGCTAATATAATTTCCAATTCGGTAGTCCAAACCCTCCCATAGCTCTTACGTCTTGTAGCATTTTTAGATTGATTCTCGCCTTTTTACCCTGCTATATATATTTCGTTATTATCTTATTGAGCTCTTTAAAGTATTTTTTCTCCAATTTTATCAAGATTGGAATAAAAACAATACTCTTGGTAATATGTTCATTTTAATTGTACCTATTTTTCCTATTAATGATGATTGCAGGTTTTTCCATCTATCCAAATCTACCTCAATTTTCTTTTTTAGCTTGTAGTAGTTGTCTTTCTTAATCGTTACACATCTTGCTGTAAATTTTACCCCTAAATATTTTACTTTGTTTGCAATCTAGATATCTAATCTCTCCGTCAAGTCCCTTTTCTGCTTCTCTGTGATATTTTTCACTAAAATTTTCATTTTGTCCTTATTGATTTTCAGTCCTGCCACCTCACCATATTCTTCTATTCTTTTTAATAACTTTGGTCCTATTTCTTGCGGATCTTCTAAAATAAATACCAAATCATCTGTGAATGCCTGCAATTTATATTCCTCCTTTTCTATTTCCATATTGATGTTAAGTGATGTTAAGAAATAATAAATCTTTAACAGTCACAGCTTGAGGGTTTGCTGATTCACCAGCCCTGATGTCAGCCATCTTTCAGCCACTTTGTATTTATCCAGCTATTAGGGTGACAATTCCAACTATTTTCCACACAGTATAAAAGCAAAATTTTAGTTAAAGTCAATACCAAATTCTTCTCCTCAGTACCAAATTCTTTTCCTTGCCGCTTCCACTTTAAAACTTTCTCTTAACGTGTAATCCGGTAGCTGTATCAATGTTGCAAATGTTAACAAGCTTAACAAGCACTTTCCCTAGTAGCTTCCTCCTCCCGCCCTCAGGCGCCATTTTCTGCATTTTAAAACGGAGTTAAAGTATTACTTGCAATTTTTTTTCTTTTTTCTCCTGATTTGCTCTGTCTGCAATCAAGGTAAAGATGTTAAAAGTCCCCTCATTTCTTTTCAGCAGATTTTGGTCGCGGCTTCTAGCTCCGCTTCAGCGGAGTTGTCCCTGGTCTGGAGCAGCTTGACAGGCTTCAATAGGGAGTCCACACCCTTCGCGCCCCAGGATTTCTCCTGGCACACTTGGGGGGGCTCTACTTCCGCCTGTCGGCTGTTCTCTCTCCCCTTTGCCCGGGGAGAGGGTTCCAAGCCTCCAGACAGCAGTTTTTCGGCTGTTCTGGGGCTTTTACGGAACTGGGGATCAGGCGCTCGTAAAAGAGCGTCTTCGAGCCTCGTGGAGCCAACCGAAAATTTTGGATACAATTGAAAGAGCTTTTTCAAAAAACAGCTTGGAAAATCATAAAGAGTTGTTGGATGGCCAGCAGAAAAATTTTCTGAGGAGTTTGCCTTTGGAAGACCATGAGGCTGTTAGGATTGAAAGGCAGGCTGGCACAGTTGAAACAAAGGTCGGGGCAGACACTTCCATTCAATTGATAGAAAAGCAACAAATAGATTTATCATTGCAAGCTGATAAATTTTATGGCAACAAATTCTGGCTATATGGACAAAGGAATGGACTGAATGATTATATAAGCAAGAAGAGTCGGAATGGGGATTTTAAATTAGAAAAAGTGACTTCAAGAAGAGAGCCAGTTTTTCAGAAATATCAACCTCAAATCAACATTTTAAAATTTTCAAAAATAAAATTGGGGGGAATGTTGCAAGACTTAATAAAGAAGAAGGATTGGAAAAAATATCGAAAGAAGAGAAGAACAGAAGATTAAGTTTTTGTTTTCTTTTTTTTTCTTTCGGGGGAAGGAAGACTCTAGTAAATTGAAAAGTTTAGTTACATTGGTATTGTTAAAGGCTACTCTAAGATAAAATGATATAATATTCTTCCTGTAGATTTTGAAATTTATAGTTGGTAAATATGTGTTTTAATGGTATTAAGAGATTTTAAAATGTTTAACATAAGATTATACTATTTTAAAAGAGACATGAGATAAAATGTTTAAAACTTTAAGATGTTCAATTTTTTGAAGGAAAGAGGCTTAATGTTAAATTTAGAACTCTATTAGGGAGTAATGCTCAAAAAAAATGATGTTTGAGGGTGCGGAAATGAAACTCAGCTATGATTTTTACTGTTTGTAATTACATTTACAAACATTTACTGTTTGTAATTACATTTAGAATTGATGTTAAACTTAATTTGATTAAGCATATGTCATATTATAGGTGCTTTCTGTACTCAACGATGGAGAGGTTCACCAAAGATTTGAGAAAGTTATTTCTGATATCAACAAACCAGGTGCTAATTATAGCCTCAGTCTAGTCAACCAGCTCTTTGGAGAAACATCATATGATTTTCTTGCAGTAAGTTACATACATGTTGGAGAACTGGCTGGAAACAACCATAAATGCTCTGTTTGTTTTAATGTTTGCCTGTCTCATTGCAATTGCAGTTTGGCTCTAATAAGGTACCAAATATTCCTGTAGCTTTATTTCGTTCATTGAGTTGTCTAGAGGGGAAATTTAAAAGTCTAGCTGCTTTTACTGGGAATGTTACAGGAACATCCAGTGGAATGTTCCTAAATATAGAACTATCAAATAAAAGTCATAAATAGAACCATGTGACCCATAATTGCCAGATATATTTTTGAATAAACTGTTATTTTAGGATAATTCTATATAGTTCCTAATATCTGATAAACTTTTTCTAGGCTGTATCAACTATCCAATGGCATTGGCTGGTTTTAGATAGTATTCAGTGTAATAAATAATGTTTCCTGATTTTTAGTTCGTAGAAAAATGAGACAAAATCAATTCTTGTTCTTTATATTTGCTTCTGTTATTGAGATGTCATTGTTTCTTAAGTCATTTATAGAATCCACTCAGAGATTCTACCATGCAGGTCTGGAGAAACTTAACTTCACACAAGCTTCAGAAGATTCAAGAAGACATATAAATGCCTGGGTAGAAGAAAAAACCTCAGGTGAGAATGATAATAAGAGTTAATTAGTAGCTGCATTAAGTAAGACATGCAATATTGTGTGTGCATGTCAGAGAGACAGACAAGGCAGGCAAACCCACCTGCTATTATTTGCTATGTAGAAGCCCATCAAATCTCAGATGAAATTCTAGCCATGAATATATTATTGGTTTTATTGATGGACACATCTGAGCATATTTCTGTTATTTAACTTGCCTGTTATTTAACTTGTATGTGTGTGGTAACCTTACTAAATAATGATATAAGATGGGCAACTGTATAAATGTTAAGAGAGGGAGGATGGGTGGATGGAGGTTGGACTGGCCCTGAGGAAGCAAAAGCTACATTCCATCCTCAGTCAGAGGAGTTCTCTGGGTGACTGTCTTGAGCTCCTGAAGAGAGAAATCTAATAATTAAATTAAAATGAAGAGAGGGGGGGGAGGGAGGGACAGAGGGAGGGAGGGAGACAGGGACAGAGACAGAGGGTGGTGAGTGATGTTAAGAAATAATAAATCTTATCTATCAATTAAAGCAGTTTTTTTTAAAAAAATCTTTCAAAGGAAACATTCAGGATCTGCTTGTCCTTGAAATAATTGATTTGCTTACAAAACTGGTTTTGGTGCATGCTATCTATTACTTTTTTTAAAAAAAAATTAAATTTTCTTTTAATACAAACATTCCATCACACATCTTAGTGTGTCATCTGAATATACATTTCTTTGTGTCTTAACAATTAAACTTACCACCATATTAATTTCTTACATTCATTCTTATATTAATACTAAATAATAATAATGATAAAATGACATAAACTAACACTTCTCTTCTTTACTTATCTATTTTTACAATACATTAATTTCATATTTATTCTCTAACCATTGATAAAATAACTCCCATATATTCTTCCTTTTCTAGAATTGCAAGTGTTAACCTGTTCATTTCTGCACATTCTAATATTTTCTTAGTCACTTTTTCATCTATAGGGATCTCTTCGCTTTTCCAATTTTGTGCAAATATAATTCTAGCTGAGGTTATTATATCAATAATCAAATATACAGTTTCTTTACTATAATTCACGATAAAATCCCCAACAGGAACAATTCCAGTTTTAAATCAATATGTTGTTGCGTCATCTTCTCCAGCCACATACAAATTTTTGCCCAGTATCTTTTTGCTTCCCCACACGTCCACCACATATGATAATACAACCCCGGTGTCTGTTGGCATTTCCAACATTTAGTTGATTTATCTTTAAACATTTTGGCCAGTCTTTCTGGTGCTAAGTGCCATCTGTAAAACATCTTATATAGATTTTCCTTGTATGCAGTTGATGGTGTTAATTTGTAATTCCTATCCCATAGTTGCTGCCATTTATCTCGCTCTATCGTGTGACCGAAGTTTTTTGCCCATGCTATCATTGTTCCTTTAATTTGTTCTTCTCCTAATTTAATGCTCAATAAGTAACTGTACAATTTTTTTTTATCATTCTCTCTTCTATTCCTGTCAATATCTTATCCAATTCTGTCAGTTCCATATAAAAACCATAAAGTTTAGCATCCTTTTAATATCTAGATCGTATTTGCAACTGTGTGTACTAATCCATATCAATCCCCTGCTTTTCCAATTCACATTTCATTTTAAGTTCCCCCTTATCTGACAAAATATCTTTGTAACTAACAATATTTCCCATATTAATAATATTTGGATGTATATGTGCTTCCATCGTCAAAAGCCAGACTGATATCTTCAAGTAGTGTTGCTCTCTAATTTTTTCCCATACTAATAACAAAGCATTTCTTATATACTGTCTTTGGAAGTAACCATGTATCTTATTTTCCCCATATCATAAAAAAGCATGCCAACCTAAATGCAGGTCATGTTCCTCCAATGCTAATAACCTTATATTTCTCAATACAATCCATTCCTTCATCCAAGTTAGTGCTGCTGCCTGCTAATATAATTTCCAATTCGGTAGTCCAAACCCTCCCATAGCTCTTACGTCTTGTAGCATTTTTAGATTGATTCTCGCCTTTTTACCCTGCCATATATATTTCGTTATTATCTTATTGAGCTCTTTAAAGTATTTTTTCTCCAATTTTATCAAGATTGGAATAAAAACAATACTCTTGGTAATATGTTCATTTTAATTGTAGCTATTTTTCCTATTAATGATGATTGCAGGTTTTTCCATCTATCCAAATCTACCTCAATTTTCTTTTTTAGCTTGTAGTAGTTGTCTTTCTTAATCGTTACACATCTTGCTGTAAATTTTACCCCTAAATATTTTACTTTGTTTGCAATCTAGATATCTAATCTCTCCGTCAAGTCCCTTTTCTGCTTCTCTGTGATATTTTTCACTAAAATTTTCATTTTGTCCTTATTGATTTTCAGTCCTGCCACCTCACCATATTCTTCTATTCTTTTTAATAACTTTGGTCCTATTTCTTGCGGATCTTCTAAAATAAATACCAAATCATCTGTGAATGCCTGCAATTTATATTCCTCCTTTTCTATTTCCATATTGATGTTAAGTGATGTTAAGAAATAATAAATCTTTAACAGTCACAGCTTGAGGGTTTGCTGATTCACCAGCCCTGATGTCAGCCATCTTTCAGCCACTTTGTATTTATCCAGCTATTAGGGTGACAATTCCAACTATTTTCCACACAGTATAAAAGCAAAATTTTAGTTAAAGTCAATACCAAATTCTTCTCCTCAGTACCAAATTCTTTTCCTTGCCGCTTCCACTTTAAAACTTTCTCTTAACGTGTAATCCGGTAGCTGTATCAATGTTGCAAATGTTAACAAGCTTAACAAGCACTTTCCCTAGTAGCTTCCTCCTCCCGCCCTCAGGCGCCATTTTCTGCATTTTAAAACGGAGTTAAAGTATTACTTGCAATTTTTTTTCTTTTTTCTCCTGATTTGCTCTGTCTGCAATCAAGGTAAAGATGTTAAAAGTCCCCTCATTTCTTTTCAGCAGATTTTGGTCGCGGCTTCTAGCTCCGCTTCAGCGGAGTTGTCCCTGGTCTGGAGCAGCTTGACAGGCTTCAATAGGGAGTCCACACCCTTCGCGCCCCAGGATTTCTCCTGGCACACTTGGGGGGGCTCTACTTCCGCCTGTCGGCTGTTCTCTCTCCCCTTTGCCCGGGGAGAGGGTTCCAAGCCTCCAGACAGCAGTTTTTCGGCTGTTCTGGGGCTTTTACGGAACTGGGGATCAGGCGCTCGTAAAAGAGCGTCTTCGAGCCTCGTGGAGCCAACCGAAAATTTTGGATACAATTGAAAGAGCTTTTTCAAAAAACAGCTTGGAAAATCATAAAGAGTTGTTGGATGGCCAGCAGAAAAATTTTCTGAGGAGTTTGCCTTTGGAAGACCATGAGGCTGTTAGGATTGAAAGGCAGGCTGGCACAGTTGAAACAAAGGTCGGGGCAGACACTTCCATTCAATTGATAGAAAAGCAACAAATAGATTTATCATTGCAAGCTGATAAATTTTATGGCAACAAATTCTGGCTATATGGACAAAGGAATGGACTGAATGATTATATAAGCAAGAAGAGTCGGAATGGGGATTTTAAATTAGAAAAAGTGACTTCAAGAAGAGAGCCAGTTTTTCAGAAATATCAACCTCAAATCAACATTTTAAAATTTTCAAAAATAAAATTGGGGGGAATGTTGCAAGACTTAATAAAGAAGAAGGATTGGAAAAAATATCGAAAGAAGAGAAGAACAGAAGATTAAGTTTTTGTTTTCTTTTTTTTTCTTTCGGGGGAAGGAAGACTCTAGTAAATTGAAAAGTTTAGTTACATTGGTATTGTTAAAGGCTACTCTAAGATAAAATGATATAATATTCTTCCTGTAGATTTTGAAATTTATAGTTGGTAAATATGTGTTTTAATGGTATTAAGAGATTTTAAAATGTTTAACATAAGATTATACTATTTTAAAAGAGACATGAGATAAAATGTTTAAAACTTTAAGATGTTCAATTTTTTGAAGGAAAGAGGCTTAATGTTAAATTTAGAACTCTATTAGGGAGTAATGCTCAAAAAAAATGATGTTTGAGGGTGCGGAAATGAAACTCAGCTATGATTTTTACTGTTTGTAATTACATTTACAAACATTTACTGTTTGTAATTACATTTAGAATTGATGTTAAACTTAATTTGATTAAGCATATGTCATATTATAGGTGCTTTCTGTACTCAACGATGGAGAGGTTCACCAAAGATTTGAGAAAGTTATTTCTGATATCAACAAACCAGGTGCTAATTATAGCCTCAGTCTAGTCAACCAGCTCTTTGGAGAAACATCATATGATTTTCTTGCAGTAAGTTACATACATGTTGGAGAACTGGCTGGAAACAACCATAAATGCTCTGTTTGTTTTAATGTTTGCCTGTCTCATTGCAATTGCAGTTTGGCTCTAATAAGGTACCAAATATTCCTGTAGCTTTATTTCGTTCATTGAGTTGTCTAGAGGGGAAATTTAAAAGTCTAGCTGCTTTTACTGGGAATGTTACAGGAACATCCAGTGGAATGTTCCTAAATATAGAACTATCAAATAAAAGTCATAAATAGAACCATGTGACCCATAATTGCCAGATATATTTTTGAATAAACTGTTATTTTAGGATAATTCTATATAGTTCCTAATATCTGATAAACTTTTTCTAGGCTGTATCAACTATCCAATGGCATTGGCTGGTTTTAGATAGTATTCAGTGTAATAAATAATGTTTCCTGATTTTTAGTTCGTAGAAAAATGAGACAAAATCAATTCTTGTTCTTTATATTTGCTTCTGTTATTGAGATGTCATTGTTTCTTAAGTCATTTATAGAATCCACTCAGAGATTCTACCATGCAGGTCTGGAGAAACTTAACTTCACACAAGCTTCAGAAGATTCAAGAAGACATATAAATGCCTGGGTAGAAGAAAAAACCTCAGGTGAGAATGATAATAAGAGTTAATTAGTAGCTGCATTAAGTAAGACATGCAATATTGTGTGTGCATGTCAGAGAGACAGACAAGGCAGGCAAACCCACCTGCTATTATTTGCTATGTAGAAGCCCATCAAATCTCAGATGAAATTCTAGCCATGAATATATTATTGGTTTTATTGATGGACACATCTGAGCATATTTCTGTTATTTAACTTGCCTGTTATTTAACTTGTATGTGTGTGGTAACCTTACTAAATAATGATATAAGATGGGCAACTGTATAAATGTTAAGAGAGGGAGGATGGGTGGATGGAGGTTGGACTGGCCCTGAGGAAGCAAAAGCTACATTCCATCCTCAGTCAGAGGAGTTCTCTGGGTGACTGTCTTGAGCTCCTGAAGAGAGAAATCTAATAATTAAATTAAAATGAAGAGAGGGGGGGGAGGGAGGGACAGAGGGAGGGAGGGAGACAGGGACAGAGACAGAGGGTGGTGAGTGATGTTAAGAAATAATAAATCTTATCTATCAATTAAAGCAGTTTTTTTAAAAAAAATCTTTCAAAGGAAACATTCAGGATCTGCTTGTCCTTGAAATAATTGATTTGCTTACAAAACTGGTTTTGGTGCATGCTATCTATTACTTTTTTTAAAAAAAAATTAAATTTTCTTTTAATACAAACATTCCATCACACATCTTAGTGTGTCATCTGAATATACATTTCTTTGTGTCTTAACAATTAAACTTACCACCATATTAATTTCTTACATTCATTCTTATATTAATACTAAATAATAATAATGATAAAATGACATAAACTAACACTTCTCTTCTTTACTTATCTATTTTTACAATACATTAATTTCATATTTATTCTCTAACCATTGATAAAATAACTCCCATATATTCTTCCTTTTCTAGAATTGCAAGTGTTAACCTGTTCATTTCTGCACATTCTAATATTTTCTTAGTCACTTTTTCATCTATAGGGATCTCTTCGCTTTTCCAATTTTGTGCAAATATAATTCTAGCTGAGGTTATTATATCAATAATCAAATATACAGTTTCTTTACTATAATTCACGATAAAATCCCCAACAGGAACAATTCCAGTTTTAAATCAATATGTTGTTGCGTCATCTTCTCCAGCCACATACAAATTTTTGCCCAGTATCTTTTTGCTTCCCCACACGTCCACCACATATGATAATACAACCCCGGTGTCTGTTGGCATTTCCAACATTTAGTTGATTTATCTTTAAACATTTTGGCCAGTCTTTCTGGTGCTAAGTGCCATCTGTAAAACATCTTATATAGATTTTCCTTGTATGCAGTTGATGGTGTTAATTTGTAATTCCTATCCCATAGTTGCTGCCATTTATCTCGCTCTATCGTGTGACCGAAGTTTTTTGCCCATGCTATCATTGTTCCTTTAATTTGTTCTTCTCCTAATTTAATGCTCAATAAGTAACTGTACAATTTTTTTTTATCATTCTCTCTTCTATTCCTGTCAATATCTTATCCAATTCTGTCAGTTCCATATAAAAACCATAAAGTTTAGCATCCTTTTAATATCTAGATCGTATTTGCAACTGTGTGTACTAATCCATATCAATCCCCTGCTTTTCCAATTCACATTTCATTTTAAGTTCCCCCTTATCTGACAAAATATCTTTGTAACTAACAATATTTCCCATATTAATAATATTTGGATGTATATGTGCTTCCATCGTCAAAAGCCAGACTGATATCTTCAAGTAGTGTTGCTCTCTAATTTTTTCCCATACTAATAACAAAGCATTTCTTATATACTGTCTTTGGAAGTAACCATGTATCTTATTTTCCCCATATCATAAAAAAGCATGCCAACCTAAATGCAGGTCATGTTCCTCCAATGCTAATAACCTTATATTTCTCAATACAATCCATTCCTTCATCCAAGTTAGTGCTGCTGCCTGCTAATATAATTTCCAATTCGGTAGTCCAAACCCTCCCATAGCTCTTACGTCTTGTAGCATTTTTAGATTGATTCTCGCCTTTTTACCCTGCCATATATATTTCGTTATTATCTTATTGAGCTCTTTAAAGTATTTTTTCTCCAATTTTATCAAGATTGGAATAAAAACAATACTCTTGGTAATATGTTCATTTTAATTGTAGCTATTTTTCCTATTAATGATGATTGCAGGTTTTTGCATCTATCCAAATCTACCTCAATTTTCTTTTTTAGCTTGTAGTAGTTGTCTTTCTTAATCGTTACACATCTTGCTGTAAATTTTACCCCTAAATATTTTACTTTGTTTGCAATCTAGATATCTAATCTCTCCGTCAAGTCCCTTTTCTGCTTCTCTGTGATATTTTTCACTAAAATTTTCATTTTGTCCTTATTGATTTTCAGTCCTGCCACCTCACCATATTCTTCTATTCTTTTTAATAACTTTGGTCCTATTTCTTGCGGATCTTCTAAAATAAATACCAAATCATCTGTGAATGCCTGCAATTTATATTCCTCCTTTTCTATTTCCATATTGATGTTAAGTGATGTTAAGAAATAATAAATCTTTAACAGTCACAGCTTGAGGGTTTGCTGATTCACCAGCCCTGATGTCAGCCATCTTTCAGCCACTTTGTATTTATCCAGCTATTAGGGTGACAATTCCAACTATTTTCCACACAGTATAAAAGCAAAATTTTAGTTAAAGTCAATACCAAATTCTTCTCCTCAGTACCAAATTCTTTTCCTTGCCGCTTCCACTTTAAAACTTTCTCTTAACGTGTAATCCGGTAGCTGTATCAATGTTGCAAATGTTAACAAGCTTAACAAGCACTTTCCCTAGTAGCTTCCTCCTCCCGCCCTCAGGCGCCATTTTCTGCATTTTAAAACGGAGTTAAAGTATTACTTGCAATTTTTTTTCTTTTTTCTCCTGATTTGCTCTGTCTGCAATCAAGGTAAAGATGTTAAAAGTCCCCTCATTTCTTTTCAGCAGATTTTGGTCGCGGCTTCTAGCTCCGCTTCAGCGGAGTTGTCCCTGGTCTGGAGCAGCTTGACAGGCTTCAATAGGGAGTCCACACCCTTCGCGCCCCAGGATTTCTCCTGGCACACTTGGGGGGGCTCTACTTCCGCCTGTCGGCTGTTCTCTCTCCCCTTTGCCCGGGGAGAGGGTTCCAAGCCTCCAGACAGCAGTTTTTCGGCTGTTCTGGGGCTTTTACGGAACTGGGGATCAGGCGCTCGTAAAAGAGCGTCTTCGAGCCTCGTGGAGCCAACCGAAAATTTTGGATACAATTGAAAGAGCTTTTTCAAAAAACAGCTTGGAAAATCATAAAGAGTTGTTGGATGGCCAGCAGAAAAATTTTCTGAGGAGTTTGCCTTTGGAAGACCATGAGGCTGTTAGGATTGAAAGGCAGGCTGGCACAGTTGAAACAAAGGTCGGGGCAGACACTTCCATTCAATTGATAGAAAAGCAACAAATAGATTTATCATTGCAAGCTGATAAATTTTATGGCAACAAATTCTGGCTATATGGACAAAGGAATGGACTGAATGATTATATAAGCAAGAAGAGTCGGAATGGGGATTTTAAATTAGAAAAAGTGACTTCAAGAAGAGAGCCAGTTTTTCAGAAATATCAACCTCAAATCAACATTTTAAAATTTTCAAAAATAAAATTGGGGGGAATGTTGCAAGACTTAATAAAGAAGAAGGATTGGAAAAAATATCGAAAGAAGAGAAGAACAGAAGATTAAGTTTTTGTTTTCTTTTTTTTTCTTTCGGGGGAAGGAAGACTCTAGTAAATTGAAAAGTTTAGTTACATTGGTATTGTTAAAGGCTACTCTAAGATAAAATGATATAATATTCTTCCTGTAGATTTTGAAATTTATAGTTGGTAAATATGTGTTTTAATGGTATTAAGAGATTTTAAAATGTTTAACATAAGATTATACTATTTTAAAAGAGACATGAGATAAAATGTTTAAAACTTTAAGATGTTCAATTTTTTGAAGGAAAGAGGCTTAATGTTAAATTTAGAACTCTATTAGGGAGTAATGCTCAAAAAAAATGATGTTTGAGGGTGCGGAAATGAAACTCAGCTATGATTTTTACTGTTTGTAATTACATTTACAAACATTTACTGTTTGTAATTACATTTAGAATTGATGTTAAACTTAATTTGATTAAGCATATGTCATATTATAGGTGCTTTCTGTACTCAACGATGGAGAGGTTCACCAAAGATTTGAGAAAGTTATTTCTGATATCAACAAACCAGGTGCTAATTATAGCCTCAGTCTAGTCAACCAGCTCTTTGGAGAAACATCATATGATTTTCTTGCAGTAAGTTACATACATGTTGGAGAACTGGCTGGAAACAACCATAAATGCTCTGTTTGTTTTAATGTTTGCCTGTCTCATTGCAATTGCAGTTTGGCTCTAATAAGGTACCAAATATTCCTGTAGCTTTATTTCGTTCATTGAGTTGTCTAGAGGGGAAATTTAAAAGTCTAGCTGCTTTTACTGGGAATGTTACAGGAACATCCAGTGGAATGTTCCTAAATATAGAACTATCAAATAAAAGTCATAAATAGAACCATGTGACCCATAATTGCCAGATATATTTTTGAATAAACTGTTATTTTAGGATAATTCTATATAGTTCCTAATATCTGATAAACTTTTTCTAGGCTGTATCAACTATCCAATGGCATTGGCTGGTTTTAGATAGTATTCAGTGTAATAAATAATGTTTCCTGATTTTTAGTTCGTAGAAAAATGAGACAAAATCAATTCTTGTTCTTTATATTTGCTTCTGTTATTGAGATGTCATTGTTTCTTAAGTCATTTATAGAATCCACTCAGAGATTCTACCATGCAGGTCTGGAGAAACTTAACTTCACACAAGCTTCAGAAGATTCAAGAAGACATATAAATGCCTGGGTAGAAGAAAAAACCTCAGGTGAGAATGATAATAAGAGTTAATTAGTAGCTGCATTAAGTAAGACATGCAATATTGTGTGTGCATGTCAGAGAGACAGACAAGGCAGGCAAACCCACCTGCTATTATTTGCTATGTAGAAGCCCATCAAATCTCAGATGAAATTCTAGCCATGAATATATTATTGGTTTTATTGATGGACACATCTGAGCATATTTCTGTTATTTAACTTGCCTGTTATTTAACTTGTATGTGTGTGGTAACCTTACTAAATAATGATATAAGATGGGCAACTGTATAAATGTTAAGAGAGGGAGGATGGGTGGATGGAGGTTGGACTGGCCCTGAGGAAGCAAAAGCTACATTCCATCCTCAGTCAGAGGAGTTCTCTGGGTGACTGTCTTGAGCTCCTGAAGAGAGAAATCTAATAATTAAATTAAAATGAAGAGAGGGGGGGGAGGGAGGGACAGAGGGAGGGAGGGAGACAGGGACAGAGACAGAGGGTGGTGAGTGATGTTAAGAAATAATAAATCTTATCTATCAATTAAAGCAGTTTTTTTTAAAAAAATCTTTCAAAGGAAACATTCAGGATCTGCTTGTCCTTGAAATAATTGATTTGCTTACAAAACTGGTTTTGGTGCATGCTATCTATTACTTTTTTTAAAAAAAAATTAAATTTTCTTTTAATACAAACATTCCATCACACATCTTAGTGTGTCATCTGAATATACATTTCTTTGTGTCTTAACAATTAAACTTACCACCATATTAATTTCTTACATTCATTCTTATATTAATACTAAATAATAATAATGATAAAATGACATAAACTAACACTTCTCTTCTTTACTTATCTATTTTTACAATACATTAATTTCATATTTATTCTCTAACCATTGATAAAATAACTCCCATATATTCTTCCTTTTCTAGAATTGCAAGTGTTAACCTGTTCATTTCTGCACATTCTAATATTTTCTTAGTCACTTTTTCATCTATAGGGATCTCTTCGCTTTTCCAATTTTGTGCAAATATAATTCTAGCTGAGGTTATTATATCAATAATCAAATATACAGTTTCTTTACTATAATTCACGATAAAATCCCCAACAGGAACAATTCCAGTTTTAAATCAATATGTTGTTGCGTCATCTTCTCCAGCCACATACAAATTTTTGCCCAGTATCTTTTTGCTTCCCCACACGTCCACCACATATGATAATACAACCCCGGTGTCTGTTGGCATTTCCAACATTTAGTTGATTTATCTTTAAACATTTTGGCCAGTCTTTCTGGTGCTAAGTGCCATCTGTAAAACATCTTATACAGATTTTCCTTGTATGCAGTTGACGGTGTTAATTTGTAATTCCTATCCCATAGTTGCTGCCATTTATCTCGCTCTATCGTGTGACCGAAGTTTTTTGCCCATGCTATCATTGTTCCTTTAATTTGTTCTTCTCCTAATTTAATGCTCAATAAGTAACTGTACAATTTTTTTTTATCATTCTCTCTTCTATTCCTGTCAATATCTTATCCAATTCTGTCAGTTCCATATAAAAACCATAAAGTTTAGCATCCTTTTAATATCTAGATCGTATTTGCAACTGTGTGTACTAATCCATATCAATCCCCTGCTTTTCCAATTCACATTTCATTTTAAGTTCCCCCTTATCTGACAAAATATCTTTGTAACTAACAATATTTCCCATATTAATAATATTTGGATGTATATGTGCTTCCATCGTCAAAAGCCAGACTGATATCTTCAAGTAGTGTTGCTCTCTAATTTTTTCCCATACTAATAACAAAGCATTTCTTATATACTGTCTTTGGAAGTAACCATGTATCTTATTTTCCCCGTATCATAAAAAAGCATGCCAACCTAAATGCAGGTCATGTTCCTCCAATGCTAATAACCTTATATTTCTCAATACAATCCATTCCTTCATCCAAGTTAGTGCTGCTGCCTGCTAATATAATTTCCAATTCGGTAGTCCAAACCCTCCCATAGCTCTTACGTCTTGTAGCATTTTTAGATTGATTCTCGCCTTTTTACCCTGCCATATATATTTCGTTATTATCTTATTGAGCTCTTTAAAGTATTTTTTCTCCAATTTTATCGAGATTGGAATAAAAACAATACTCTTGGTAATATGTTCATTTTAATTGTAGCTATTTTTCCTATTAATGATGATTGCAGGTTTTTGCATCTATCCAAATCTACCTCAATTTTCTTTTTTAGCTTGTAGTAGTTGTCTTTCTTAATCGTTACACATCTTGCTGTAAATTTTACCCCTAAATATTTTACTTTGTTTGCAATCTAGATATCTAATCTCTCCGTCAAGTCCCTTTTCTGCTTCTCTGTGATATTTTTCACTAAAATTTTCATTTTGTCCTTATTGATTTTCAGTCCTGCCACCTCACCATATTCTTCTATTCTTTTTAATAACTTTGGTCCTATTTCTTGCGGATCTTCTAAAATAAATACCAAATCATCTGTGAATGCCTGCAATTTATATTCCTCCTTTTCTATTTCCATATTGATGTTAAGTGATGTTAAGAAATAATAAATCTTTAACAGTCACAGCTTGAGGGTTTGCTGATTCACCAGCCCTGATGTCAGCCATCTTTCAGCCACTTTGTATTTATCCAGCTATTAGGGTGACAATTCCAACTATTTTCCACACAGTATAAAAGCAAAATTTTAGTTAAAGTCAATACCAAATTCTTCTCCTCAGTACCAAATTCTTTTCCTTGCCGCTTCCACTTTAAAACTTTCTCTTAACGTGTAATCCGGTAGCTGTATCAATGTTGCAAATGTTAACAAGCTTAACAAGCACTTTCCCTAGTAGCTTCCTCCTCCCGCCCTCAGGCGCCATTTTCTGCATTTTAAAACGGAGTTAAAGTATTACTTGCGATTTTTTTTCTTTTTTCTCCTGATTTGCTCTGTCTGCAATCAAGGTAAAGATGTTAAAAGTCCCCTCATTTCTTTTCAGCAGATTTTGGTCGCGGCTTCTAGCTCCGCTTCAGCGGAGTTGTCCCTGGTCTGGAGCAGCTTGACAGGCTTCAATAGGGAGTCCACACCCTTCGCGCCCCAGGATTTCTCCTGGCACACTTGGGGGGGCTCTACTTCCGCCTGTCGGCTGTTCTCTCTCCCCTTTGCCCGGGGAGAGGGTTCCAAGCCTCCAGACAGCAGTTTTTCGGCTGTTCTGGGGCTTTTACGGAACTGGGGATCAGGCGCTCGTAAAAGAGCGTCTTCGAGCCTCGTGGAGCCAACCGAAAATTTTGGATACAATTGAAAGAGCTTTTTTCAAAAAACAGCTTGGAAAATCATAAAGAGTTGTTGGATGGCCAGCAGAAAAATTTTCTGAGGAGTTTGCCTTTGGAAGACCATGAGGCTGTTAGGATTGAAAGGCAGGCTGGCACAGTTGAAACAAAGGTCGGGGCAGACACTTCCATTCAATTGATAGAAAAGCAACAAATAGATTTATCATTGCAAGCTGATAAATTTTATGGCAACAAATTCTGGCTATATGGACAAAGGAATGGACTGAATGATTATATAAGCAAGAAGAGTCGGAATGGGGATTTTAAATTAGAAAAAGTGACTTCAAGAAGAGAGCCAGTTTTTCAGAAATATCAACCTCAAATCAACATTTTAAAATTTTCAAAAATAAAATTGGGGGGAATGTTGCAAGACTTAATAAAGAAGAAGGATTGGAAAAAATATCGAAAGAAGAGAAGAACAGAAGATTAAGTTTTTGTTTTCTTTTTTTTTCTTTCGGGGGAAGGAAGACTCTAGTAAATTGAAAAGTTTAGTTACATTGGTATTGTTAAAGGCTACTCTAAGATAAAATGATATAATATTCTTCCTGTAGATTTTGAAATTTATAGTTGGTAAATATGTGTTTTAATGGTATTAAGAGATTTTAAAATGTTTAACATAAGATTATACTATTTTAAAAGAGACATGAGATAAAATGTTTAAAACTTTAAGATGTTCAATTTTTTGAAGGAAAGAGGCTTAATGTTAAATTTAGAACTCTATTAGGGAGTAATGCTCAAAAAAAATGATGTTTGAGGGTGCGGAAATGAAACTCAGCTATGATTTTTACTGTTTGTAATACTGTTAAAGTATTGGATTATATATTAAGAAAAAGTTTTTTATAACTAGGAAGATTGAATTTAACTTAACTGCTCTTGGTAATTTATAAAAGGGAGGTTGATGAATTGGAGTAAGGGGAATTAAAGAACGTGTGGGAGTTTTGAATTTTATAGTTAGTTAGCTTATTTTAGTATATGTTTGTTAGATGCTATACCCTGGTTTTGCTCTGGAAAGTCAGGGGTGGGGTGGGGAGGGCGGGATAAGGGTTGGGGTGGGATAAAAGTGTTGAATAGAGAAATGTTTTAACAGAAAAGTAAATGTGGGGGAATGTACAAATAATGAAATGACAGTATTAAGAATGATAGTTATTGGAGGAGTACGATGCAAAAAAAAAGATGTATTCAGATGATATATTAACTGACTGACTTTATATTGTATGTTTGTCTGAATGTTTATAAAATAAAAACTTTTTTATAAAAAAAAGAAATAATAAATCTTATCTGTCAATTAAAGCAGTTTTTTAAAAAAAACTTTCAAAGGTAAAATTCAGGATCTGCTTGTCCCTGGAATAATTGATTCACTTACAAAACTGGTTTTGGTGAATGCGATCTATTTCAAGGGAAACTGGGCAAATAAGTTCAACAAAGATCACACAGAGGAAAAGCCATTCTGGATTAACAAGGTGTTCATTTACTGTATTAACAGAGTAAAAGAGACATTCTGAATATTTTAAATTGTGTTATTTTGTATATATCTGAAGTAAGCGTGGAATTAATTTGAAAAATTCCTGTAGCAAAGAAATTGCTTACTCCTTCCATTTTATTGATCTTTGTGGAAATGGATGAATCATGAAAGTCAGTCATCTTAAGTCCTTCAGGCTTTGTGTGTAGCAATTCAGACTTTTCTGTCATTGAAACTTTGCGCAGGGATTTTTAGTGCAGCACCACTCCCACTAATTCTATGTGATTAGCTGCAATAACTATGGAGTGTTTAGTGAATATAGTTGCTGAGAATGTGGATCTATTATGTATTATCACCTGGACATATTTGATGGAGGAGGAACAGGCAAAATATGTTTCTATGTTGCTCTCCACAAAGAAGGCTAGTTTTGATATTATAGACATCTGTTCATTTGAGAAAACTGCTGATTAAAACCACAGACCTGTGTTTCATTGCATTCTTTTGCTCACAGAATTGACAATTCACTTTTCTAAAGGTCATAATCTTTGTCTGTTTTTTAAATCTATTCCTTAATATTCTAAAATTTTTCAAATTCTGTGAAAAGTAAATTATCACTATGTATAAAGACTGGAAACTCTGGTGGATGGCTGAGACATGATAAATGCTCATATAAAATCTCAGTTTGTCTTAAAAATTAAACGCAAAAGATGAAAGATTTAAGCAGAGGAAAAAAATCCCTAAGGATAAATCCATGATAGAATTATTTGCATTTCCTATTTATTTGAAAGATTTCTTCTAACATACATTTTCCCCACTTGTAGAAAGAAAGGAAAATAGTGCAGATGATGTTCAGGAAAGGAGAATACAACATGACCCACATATCGGCCTATCGGATTTCAATTCTTGAGATTCCGTATATTGATAATGACCTGAGCATGATCATTCTGCTCCCTGATGAGATTGAAGATAACTCTACTGGATTGGAAAAGGTGAGATTTTCTTTCATGAAACAGAATTTAAGACCTTGTCCATCTCTGGTACTAGCTATATGCTGTCCTTTTTAATATTGAAGCTTGGCTTTCTGCCATTATAGTTAGTACTATTGGGTTGACTTGTATTTTCCCTTATTTTGAAAAGATGCAAAAAAAAAGTCTAAAGAACACCAGCGAATGCATTTATATTTCAAAGGATTGTATACAAAGGGGGATTCCATCTGTACCTGATGTGTACAAGGCAATTGATAAGGTTGCCAATAACGTACAGTATTTCTTCTGACATTATTAAAATGCAAGGGATTCAATTTTTGATTCTTCAGTTTATACGTCATGTTAAAATAGCTATCAAGATTCATAGCTTGAAGGAAAGAACAAACAAGTTCATATAGCTGAGGTATTTTTTTGCATGGATATTTGTCTTCAATTAAGATATAGCTTCTGGCAACTCTCTGGAGAAATGCAAGTAGTTTATTTGGCAACATTTTCAGAAGTTGTTTGCCCTTGCCTGCTTCCTAGGGCTAAGAGAGTGTGACTGGCTCCAAATCACCAAACCTGGTAATTCAGATCAAAGTGATGATTTATAGTCTAGTGCTTTTAACCGCTATACCAAACTAGGCCTCAATGTTTACTTTTCTTTTAGCTTTCCTTTTAGCTTTCGGCATAATTGTAAATTATTGGGTTTTCTGGAATAAAAATTGGTATAAATTTTAATACAAACATGAATAAATTATAAAAATATTTCTTGTCAGCACGCAGGTTTTCTCTAATACAATTTATATACATTTGTCTGGGCTGCTGGCTAAACCATTCTAGCACTACTGCAGCAGTGTCAAACTGGATTTCTTCAAGGGCTGGATCAGCATTGTAGTTCTCCTCCGTGGGCCAGCTGGGGATGGGAGAGTGTCGGGACGGACGTCTCCTGCAGCATCCTGCCAGCCAAAACAGGATTCAGGCACTCCGTTTTGGCTACCAGAGGCACCGTGGGCTGGTTCTTTGCTATTTCCAGGCCGGCTCCGTATGCCAGATTTAAGCACCGGATCTGACCAAAGACCTTGAGTTTGACACCCCTGAACTAGTGACTCTCCCAGATGGATCTGCCTTATATTTCACATGTTTGTTAATAATGTATTGAGTTAGAAATTGATGTACTTTGAATATAAAGCTATATTTATATTCCTACTTTTTCTCCTGGTTCTAAGGTCTACATTTATGACTTCCAGGATTTTTCTGTCGTTGTGAACACCTGCATCATACTTGTGTTAGAATATCAGGGTAAATCATAGTATCATATAACTAGGAATTTCTTTCTCCTTTAATGTGTTTCATCTTATTTTAGCTGGAGAGAGAAATTACATATGAGAAACTCATGGACTGGATCAATCCAGAGAAGATGTTCCCAAGAAAAATTGATCTCTCCTTCCCCAAATTTAAATTGGAAGAAAAATATGACCTGAAGCCGGTTCTGAGAAGCATGGGAATGACGGATGCATTTGATGAGGGCAAGGCAGACTTCTCTGGAATGTCAACTAACAATGATTTAGTCATATCTGAAGTTGTTCACAAATCATTCATAGAAGTCAATGAAGAAGGGACTGAGGCAGCTGCTGCCACTGCTGTAATAACGGTATTTAAAAGTGCAAATGTTGCAGTCGAATTCAAAGCTGACCATCCCTTCGTCTTTTCCGTTACCGATCGATCTCGAAAGAACATCCTGTTTTTTGGTAGATATAGTTCTCCATAATGGGTGCATCCATCATATGTTGGTACAATGGCTCTGACCCTTAATTCCTCATCAGATTTGCTTAAACCATGTGGTCACTACCACACTTAATGATCTTCTCTGTAATTAGGGTAGAGATAGTTCCTTTGTAATACTCCATAATACTGGATTTTAATTCTTTCTTTCCAGGATAGAATCATTTTTAATAAATTCAAGAAAATAAGTTTTTAGGTTTTAGTACAAGTGTTCTGACTGCGGACCGCAGACTTTTTGGCTCAGGTTTTGCCTCTGTGTTATTATGCTTCAGCACTTTTAGCCACAGCCCCTCCATCCCAGTCCCTTCGCCGTGGCCCATTCGTCGCAGTACAGTTCATGTTGGGCTTTTGGGCGCAGAGGACAGTTCGAAGCCAGCTAATTGGTGCAGGGGCTTGGGGGCTTTGGGAGTAGAGCGGGGTCTGAAGTTCAGAGGGATGCTCTGTCAGTTCGGAGCCTCCCACGGTGGCTGAGATCAGCGTGGGGGAGGGATCCAGCCACAAAAGATGGGGGGAGGGGGCTGTAGAGGTACCCAGGGCTTCTGTCTGTGTACGATGGGGCTGGGAGATGGCAAAGGTATTTCATTAGTAGCGTTTGGGGTTCTGCCCCTCATCCCGGCCAAGAGCCACTCGCCTGTCAGTTCAGAGCCTCCCGAGGCTGCCGAGAGCAGCAGGGTGGGGTGGGGAAGGAGGTCTGTAGAGGGCGAGGGATCCAGCCACAAAAGAGAAGGGGAGGGGGCAGTAGAGAGCGAGGGATCCATCAGGTGGGGTTCCCAGACGTTATTATAACTAGACGTAGATTCAGGCTGGAAGGGACCCTGGAGGTCTTCTAGTCCAACCCCCTGCTCTAGCAGGAGACCTTATATCATCTGAGTTATTTTGGTACCTCTATCAGAGAAGAAAATTCCCAGAAAAGGGAAGGAGTTTGCTAGGACAAGGCTAAACAGCCTCAGACGCTTGCTAGGAGAAGGAAGGGTAGGGGTGGAAACTCCCCTACACCCGATCCTGCCTCCATGACACTGAACAGGAAGAAAAGAGCAGGGGGGGAGAGAAAGAAAGAAGAAAGAAAAAGAAAGAAAGAAAGAAAGAAAGAAAGAAAGAAAGAGGGACATTCTTTTCCCCAAACATCCCTGGGAGGGCTAGAGCCCCAGGTCAGGGTAGACGGTCTTTCCCTGGAATTCAATGGGCAGCTTGAAAGGAATGTGAGTAGAGAAAGAGAAAAGGATAAGCGATTGGAATTAATGTTGCTCCTCACTCCTCTTCATTTCCATCTGTAAGGTCCAATAATAATATGTTTAAACTCATAAATGCCAAACAAGAAATTTAAACGGAGGCTACACTTCAGAGAAGGTGTAACTCCTTTTTATACAGTGAGAAAATAACATCCTGGCTTCCTAATTAGATTTGTATATTCCTGCAAAAAGGATAGAATACTCCTCATTAGCCTTATCAGTCTAATCTCTTTCCTTTGGCCATTTGGCCCTCTGGTGTGACGGGAACAGATCAAAGCTGAGATATGTTCTTAGGTAGAAGGGGGAGGCTCTGATCAATGGTGAGACATATGATTTGACAAATACCAGGTACTTCACTCCCAGAAACCTGGGAGAAGCAGAGAGGGAACAAAGAGGTGGGGATGGGGGTTACAAGAGAGCAGGGCTCTTGGGACAGGTGGGTCTTCAGAAACCAGGAGAAGGAAAACTGACAGAGCCTCCCTCTGAACTGCAGCCCCTGCTTTACTTCCAAAGCCCCTGAGCCCCTGCACCGATTGGCTGGCTTTGAACTGTCCTCTGCACCCAAAAGCCCAAAGCGAACTGTACTGCGAAGAATGGGCTGCAGCAAAGGGACTGGGATGGAGGGACCGTGGCCCAAAGTGCCGAAGTGTAATAATGCGGAAGCGAAACCCTGGTGGAGAAACAGGCAGCGCTAAGAGTTCGAGCTGAAAAGTCCTAGACTCTTCTGACTGGTAGATAAATCCTGCAATATTGCTTTGTTTATAGGAATGTGGGTTGTGGGGAAATAGTTGCTAAGCATGAATCAAGGTATTACAACACAGAGGTAACTATGTATTTGCCCAGTGTACATTTCCATATGATGATACAAGTACAGTCAGCTCAGCTTCCATTGTGACATCATGTTTTTTCATTTGAGTGACATCATGGCTAGCTGTACTTGCCTCTGCTTGGCTTATAATAGCAAGTGTACAACAGTGCTAGAATGAGCAACATATTTATTTTTGTGATCATCATTTAATCAAGCAATTTGATTCTATGCTACTTAAATATTTACAAATGACATTTACCTTATATAATTCTTATTTTGCTGCAGTCTTTCACGTAATCAAATTTGAAATAAAAGACCATTTGATTATGTTGCTTTCAAATTTATTTAACAGTTGGTACGGTGATAAGACTCTTTATATCATGGGTCCACAGCCCTGTACCAGTCCATGGTCTGTTGGGAACTGGACCACGCAAGCATCAGATGAGCATGCAAAGCTTCATTTGCATATGCACAGGATTAGATTGAGTGCACAAACCCTTCTGCTCCCCCACTGCCGCCAATCCATGTAGTCAAAAGGTGGGGACCACTGGTTTATATTATTCAGTTACATATCACTGACATTCATCAGTTACGCCCAAATTGTATTTCAGGTAACCCTTGACTGTAATCAAGCCGATAATTACAGTCTTATCTTTTTGCGGGCATAAATCGCGATATCATGTGACCAGATTTAGTGATATGATAGTTATAATGATCGTCTTTAAGTGAACATAGGGTTGTTAAAGAAATCCCCAATGGGCATTTTTTTTCAGGAAACTGGAAGTGAAAGCTGGAAACTGGCAAAAAAATTGTGGTCATGGCACCATTTGTTATAAAAGTGAGTCAGTTGCCATGTGCCCAAAATAAATCGTATAACGACAAGATCTGTGCCTGGGTAGCTTAACTCTGAAACCACATCATAAGTAACCTCTGGGGAGGACACTTGTAACTTCGTTAAGTGATCAATTGGAAGTCAATGATGACCTGTAGAATAAAAAATTATTCGATTAACAGCATGGAATGGATATCCATTTGAGCCAAATGTCCATTAAATTAAATTCATTATTTTGATATTGAATATGGCAAGGTAAATAAAAAGGCTGGTGGGTATTGCCTCCCCTCTCTCTCCATCACAGCATGGCATATCCCACTGATCCATCTATCAAATCTTCTAAGTGCACAAATTTATAAAAAACCCTATTAGAAATCGTGAATGAATGAATTCTGTAATACAGCCAAAGGGCAACAAATAAGCACTATGCATCCAGTTAACAGAATAAAATGTAGTAGAAGAACCAGTAATGTAAAAGTAATGAGACATTGTACAGTATTAGCACTCTGAGAGATGGATTATCACTTTTGCTGGTTACATTTTCAATCAATTTATTACAGTCTTAGACCAGAGACCAGAAGAAATAAAAACGCTCAGTAAATATACAATTAAAAATTCTAGGATAAAATAATAAATAACAACTAAAATCTATAATAAAACCCAGTCTGTCAATTATACAGGGTCTAACTATACTACAATTACAATCACAATCCATAAACTGTGTGGCCCATTGTAGGTTCAATGCTAAAAGAGAAAAGACTAAACAGTTCAAAGGATTTGCCACATTTGTTATATAACATAACTATGGTGGAGAAGACGTTTGCAACGAAACCCCAGTGATGCTGCGCAGAATCTGGCCACCCGCACTGTAGTGATGGACTGTTCATCCTTAAGCAGCCACTGAAGATAGGTAGTCTTGGCACAGCCAGGATACCTAGAAGTTATTGGCAGAATATGTTTTTTCCTAATCTCTGTGTAAAAGGAACATCTAAGGATCATGTGACCCACAATCTCCACCTATCCTGAGCCACAGGAACAGAGTCTTTCTGTCAATGGTATCCTCTTATACTTGCCATACAGGACGGCCAATGGAAGTGCAGGGCACTGTGTGAGCGAAAATGCTTTCCAGTGGTTTGCTGACTCCAACTGACTAAGATAGCTGGCAGGAGCAGCAACACATCTAATGGCATCTGGAGCCAGAAACAGCAGAGCTTTCCCTAAATCCGGCTGCCTCTCGATGTCCTCCACCCTTTGTCAGAAGGTTTGTCTTGCTAAGTCATAGTCCACCTTGAGTATTGAAGCTGGGCAGAAGCCTGACTTGGCAAGGTTGGACTCGACAGCCTTGAGCCATGATGAGGAGAATTTGTTGGCTTTGTAAACTTGGAGAGTGTATGAAGCGCTATATTCTGTAAGTCTATGTGCTGTTTCTATTAACAATCACATAATTCACTTAACTGAAGCAATTCGCTTAACAACCTGGGAAAAGAGGACATAAAATGCAACTCCCTTAACTGCCTTCCTTACAACTGAAATTCTGAACCTAATTGAGGTTGTAATTCAAGGACTAGCTGCAATATATGCTAGCTTCCTCTATTGTGGACTCTCCCTAGTTTTTATACTGTATATAACTCAAAGCAGCAAATATATATAAGATTTTTCCTCCCAATTTTAGCAATTTGATATGATTGACAGACATTTTACCCTCACACATAGGTTATACATATTTTTAAAAAATGTTTATTATTCTTAACATGCAAACGATGATACATTTTTAAAAGATGAAATGTAAATAAGATCCAAACCCAGAGAAGCATAGCTAGGAAATTCAAAGGGTTTTCAAGTTTCAGGATTGAAATAAAATGTGTTGAGATAGTAAGTGAGCAAACATTTTAAGTCAGATGTTCTTTAAATTTGGATACTGTGTACATAATTTATATAAAATGTTATTTACTGCCATTAAGAAGAAAAGCCATTGCATTTATCTTTCCAGTAATTATTTTTACAACTCTGTTATTAGGTGCTTCATTTCAACCCAACAAAAGGAACTAAAAAATTTTCATAGATTGTGTAACCAACCCCAAAAAATAAAATAAAGGAAGAGAGTAATTGTCCCATAAATACTGTATATAAATAAAATGTGCATGTACACAGCGCATAACTATATCTTTCCTGTTTTATTCTTTTTTTCACACTACTGTTCCTTATTTTTGACAATGTATCAGCAATTTTTTCACCATAGGAAGAACCAAGCTAGCCCCGTTAATTGCTTCTTGAAAGTTATCATTTTCAATCAGCTGTGATGAATGATTCACTCGTTAGGAGTTTCTTTGATAAATGTTTCTAATTCTTGAAGGAACATAGAAAGCTTGGTACAGCCTGATAAGAGAAGTGGTTCAAACCATCCAGATATTGATGTTCATTACTTGCAAACTCATTATGATATAAAGACATCTCCTGAATATGAAGATGAGCTTTAACGAGATTGATGTTAGGCACAAATAATCAGGAACAGCGGTTGAATTCAAAGCACTAAGAGGTTACTCTTGTCATCTATACGCAAGAATGTAAAGCTAAATTGGCGCTAGACAAAGGTCAATGGAATTCAAGAGGGGCTGGACTTGGGTCCCTCATGGCTGTGCAATGACCAAGCTAGATTGGTGCTACAATAAGGGTCAGTGAAATTCATGGGGAACTAGACTTGGGTCCCTTGAGACTGTTCAATGACTGTAAACTGATTGTGTGTTTAACTGCACCCTCCAGCTCAGCCTGTTCATCTCCTACAGTCGTACTAAGAATGTCTATGGAGATTCTCAGTCATCCAGGTCATGGTTCTCCCAAAGGTGCTTTTTCAAAAGACAACTGGCCTTTGCTTTTCCTTGAAGTTGTTTCACTTCGTATCCAAGAAGCTTCTTCAGTTCAGTTACAGAACTGAAAAAGTTTCTTGGATAAGAAGCTAAACAACTTCAAGGAAAAACAAAGCCCAGTTGCCTTTTGAAAAAGCACCTTTGGGGCATACTAAGAATATTATGGGATACTGTGGTATGTTATATACCACATATTAGAGTTATGGAGCATGTGTGCTCCATCAGAGATATGTCAAATGATATTAACCAATGAAAGAACTCACTCCAAACTCAATATGTTGGAATTGTATATCAAGTGATTCTCTATCTTTCTAAGCTGCTCCTCTCTTGGATGAGGTGCCCTCTTTGCTTGGGTATATTAATAAAGAGTAGAGTCTACCTTACTGGCTTAGGTTCTGTTTGTGCCAGGCACACCATGCTAATGGATCGGCTGACATTTATGCCTAACATGCGTGCATGTGCTGTCACTTGTGTACGTGCATCTGAGCATAAACAAAATAGTCATTCAAATTCAACGGAGAGTGTGAAGACTAACACTGTCTCTGTACAAAGGAGTCAAACATTAGCCAAGATGAAATCTTCTGCATTCCAGGAACAGATCTCCGAAATCAATCAATCCCGTAGCACTTACTTGCTTCAAACTGCTAGTAGCATCTATGGAAAAAAAGCATTTTCATTTATTAATGTGAGTAGCATATTTTTCTGTAAGATGTATTCAGTGCTGGGATTCAAATAATTTAACAACCGGTTCTTTGCCCTAATGATCAGCTGGGTGGGCGTGGCTGGGCAGGCATGGCCAAGGGCCATGACAGCACTCAGCCTCCTGCAGCATTCTGGCAGTCAAAAAAGGGTGCAGGGATTAATTACAAAATGTAGGCTTTGCTTTGTGACATCCAGATCCAGCGAGAAAGGGATGTGAACTGCACACAAAATACACTTTTGTTTGGTTATGAAGAAATATCCCCAAAGTCGGATGTACACTGAATGTAAACTTTTAGCTACACATCTTCCCAGCAAGCAGCAAATTTTGAAGCTCCTGGTAAAGAGGATTCA